TGAATTAGAATTCTATTTAGAAGAGGATTTGGATGATCTGTTTATAATAGGAATAGGTTTGGAGAATTCTATTGATGAGAAACTTGATATTTATTTTCGGGGTTACAGTAACCATCCTACAGTAACCCGAGAGAGAGAGAGAGAGAGAGAGAGAGAGAGAGAGAGAAGTTCAGATTCCGGATAGCTCGGGTGTCCGATTGCAGTGATTCAAAAGCCGTTGTCTTCAGAACGACGACCCCATCGAGAAAACAGTGTTGGTTTCTCCACGGATGTTGGAGATTTTTCGTGAGACAGGTTTTAGGGTTTTGGTGCCCTAGAGGTTATATCTTTTTCTTGTGATTTAATCCTCAAGTTTAGGTGTAACTTGGAGGGATTGTACTCTTGGTTCATAGTGAAATATTTTTTTCTGGATTGCCCCATGGACGTAGGAATGATTTGCCGAACCATGTTAAATTTTATTTTTTGCTTGCTTATGGTATTTTCATTGGTGTCGTTATTCATTTAGTGTTTAATTCCGCAAATTAATCTCCATAAAATCTCTAACAAGTGTTATTAGAGCCCTGGTTCGAGATGTGCTTTGGGATAAAAAAGATGGAGAGTTCTAGCACAATGATGAAATTGGATGGTTTCAATGGGCAACTATAGAAGTCCAAGATGGAAGATATTCTGTATTGTAAATATTTACATGACCCTATTGAGGGAGATGAAGCCAAGCCCAAAAAGATGATTGATAAAGAATGAAAGAAATAACTCAGGAAGACGATCGGTTATATTCGGATGTGGATAGACGTTAGTGTGTTTCATCATGTATCAGGTGAGACTAATGTGAAGTCTCTTTGGAAGAAGCTTGAGGATCTCTACGAGCAGAAGACCGTAGGAAACAAGGCATTTATTATGAGGCGGTTGGTGAAATTAAAATTTAAAGAAGGAAGCAACATAGCAGGGCACTTGAATGAGTTCAAGAATTTGATTAATCGGTTAGCTACCATAAAGATGACTATCAATGATGAACTACAGACTTTATTGCTATTGGGTTCTTTATCAGATAGTTTGGAGACACTGGTTGTGATAGTCAGCAACGCGACTTCCGATATTGTATTGTTAATGAGTATGGTTACTAGTAGTTTGTTCAACGAGGAGACTCGGAGGAAGTCTACCAGCATAGATAACTCATAGGTACTTGTTACGGAGAACAGAGGCAGGAGCAGGTATAGGGATCAGTCCAGAGGTCGTGGCACATCTAAGGGCAGATCAAAGTCTAAAGGGAGATGTTGCTTTTATTGTGGGAACCAAGTCATATCAAGAAGAATTGTTGGGCATTAAAGAAAAAGCAAGCTGGGAACAAAGATGAAAAGAAAGATGAGAAGAAGAAAGATGATAGTGGCACTACAACTACTTTTCCTAAGACCGATGTTATTCTTATTTGTAGGGAAGAAGATTGTATGCAGAATTCTGAGTGGATAGTGGATACATGAGCTACATGTCATGCTACCTCTAATTGAGATATTTTCACATCGTATAAAGTATGTGACTTTGGCAATGTGAAGATGGACAATACCAGATAGTCGAAGATTGTGGGACCTGGTGATATACACTTGCAGACAGATACATAATGCACATTGATCTTAAAGAATGTGCGACATGTTCTCAACTTGCGGCTAAACTTGATTTCAGGCTTACTTTGGACCAAATGGGATATGAAATTCAATTTGGTAGAGGAAAACTTGTGCTGGCTAGAAGAAGTGTATGTTGTAATTTATACAAGGCTCAAGCGAAGTCTTCATATGATTCTTTAAGTGTGGCTCAAGACGGTGACACTCTCAGCTTGTGGCATAGGAGGCTCTGGCGTATAAGTGAGAAGGGATTGCAAATATTGGAAAAGAAGTCTCTCATTTTATTTACCAAAGGTTCGTCACCCATCGCTTGTGATTATTATTTATTTGGCAAACAACATAGAGTTTTTTTTAGTAAGCCTTCTAAACGAAAAGATAATATTCTGGATTTAATTTATTCTGATGTTTGTGGTCATATTGAGGTGGAGTCCTTGGGTGGCAATAAGTATTTTGTCACATTTATTGATAATGCATCACGGAAGATGTGGGTCTTCTTGTTGAGGACAAAGGATCAGGTATTTTCAGTCTTCCAGCAGTTTCATGCCATGGTGGAGAGGCAGACAGGAAATAAGTTGAAGTGTTTACGCACCGATAATGGAGGAGAGTGCACTTCCATTAAGTTTAGAGATTATTGCTCCAAACATGGTATTCGACATCAGAGGATAGAGCACAGCACACCGCAATATAATAGAGTTGCAGAGAGGTACAACAGAACCATTATGGAGAAAGTCAGATGCATGTTGAAGATGACGAAGTTACCAAAGAGCTTCTGGACTGAAGCTCACTTGCATTCATTTAAGAGTTGAATTTTTTTGATTGTATTAGATATTATACATTGCTTTTAAAAACGATATTTAGCAACATAATTTGCTTATTTTTTTCTATATAAAATAATACCAAATTCACGTCAAATGTTGATATTAATATAATAATATTGCAACTGATAGGGGAAAACCATATTCAAGATATTATTCTCTAACAAATATATTTTATGATGCTTTTGTGAAATTAATATTTTTTTAAATATTATCTATACACAAGCTGGTCTGTTTCATTAATTAGTGCAACAAATTTGATGTCTATATTTAAATTGATGATTTCTATATTCCCCTATGCTAGACATGGCAATTATGACCCATGCCCAATTGCCCGCTCATTAATCAGTCCGCTCATAACCCACTCATTTACTTAAATGGGCCTAAATAGGCGGGTATCTATTGAAAGGAAGATAAATGGACCCTTAATGGGCGGGCATCGCGCCCACCTTAAACCCGTCGAGGTGAAAACCCTCCCGTTCTCTCGCTCGTTCTCACGTTTCTCACTCTCAAAAATCTAACGATGGCGGCAGCAGTTCGAAGAAAATTTCGAGGCGGCAACGTCATTGACTCGATCTACTCCGTCGTCACCCTCGTCCTCATCTCGTCGCCTCCGTTGAGCTCAGCGACGCCGCCACCGCCGTCGACGTCTACCGCCTCATCCAGTACGACATCAACGGATCTCCCTCGACGGATCTCCCTTCGGATCGAAGCGATGGCGAAACATTAGATGTGGCTAATTCCAGACTTGCTCACAAATTAATACACTGTACAGTTGTTAGATGGTTGAGTCCTGGTGAATGGCTAGATAGACTGAAATGAGACAAGGCAATTTATTAGTATTGATCATATTACTTGTTTTAACCTTTTTTAGACATATGACTTGCAAATGTATCGCAATCTATTAGTACTATGATAGCATCTTTTGTATTGGGAAGCAAAGTTAGCTGAGTTTGGATTAAACTATGCATTTTTGTTCTTTATTGTAAATATATATGTTACACAGAGCCTAATATATTATGCATTACATCTATATATTTGCCAATAGTTTTCTTCTGACTCATTTGTTGAATAAGAATTCTATTTCTAGTTTCTAATTCTCGAAGGAATCTATTTGGGAAAAAACTCAGAAATTTTGCACAAAAAACCCTCAAAAGGTTGTAACCCCCCCCCCCCCCCCCCCCCCCCA